GTGTGTTTAATGTAGGCTAAATACCAATCTGAAAACCAAGGGCTTACACAAACCTCTTACAGCGTTTTTGAATGTATAATGGACATGAAATATTTAAGATGTGAGCCAGCTACTGTTCAGCTGAAGATGAAACTTCTGTTATTCCCCCAGTGCTCATTATCAAGTTTGCTGAACTTTCCTCAGAAGCAGCTGGTGCTGGGCAATGCCTGATGAAATGAACAGCCTGGCTTGTCACATCACAAATCCGTCTCTCAAGTTCAGAGTGGGTCACAGAGCAGAAATCAACTGTTTCATGGTGCAGGAACTGCTGCATGAGCCACATTTTCAGCCTTTGGATTAAACCCCACATTACTGCCCCTGACTGAGGATCCTGGCCCTAGAGAGCCAGGCACCAGGTGCTGGGGATGAGCAAATGGGGAATAAGGCACATCAGTGATGCAAAGGAATCTCAACAGCCAGTTTGGGAAGGCATGGTCCATATTGTAGTGTGAATCAAGAAATCTGAGAATCTAATTCCCACTATATTAACCTTCTCTATTGTTTTTGGGGGGGTTGTTTGTTTGTTTGTTTGTTTGGGTTATTTTAAAAATTTATTTAAATTGTTTGGAAGGGGAATCAATTAGTAAAAATTCGGTTTCACAAGCTCACAGAGACATAAAGTCTAAGTAGTTCATTCAATCAAAGAATAAATAGAAATATCTTTGGATAAATTCTGACTTTCTCTGTGTTTTAAGATCTAACAGAGTCAAAATGTTACCAGAAGACAATCCAGTTTTCAACATTTTTTTGTTGAAATTATTGAGAATTTTACTGATCCTATAAGATTTTCAGACGAAATATGATGACCATTTTATCTGAAGTTTTCTGAAACTGTCCCACCAAAACTGAGTCCAGGTTTAGCTGGAAAAAATATTGTGGTTTTTTCCCCCTAAAATAGCAGTAGGAACCCATCTTCTGTTGGCCTAGATCCCACTAGCAGTGCTGCCAGGGTGTGTTAAGGCACAGATACAACTCCAGAGAAGTTCATGGCCACCAGATCCATGGCTGAGTGTATAGTCATCTTCAAGTCTCTCAGGAGATTTGCTATCATTTTGTAAGGTGAAGACAAGATCCAAGGGCAGCAAATGAAACCATTGGCCTCTCAAAAAGACTTGTCAGGAATTTCTGGAAAACCTGCACCATTTCAGCAGTGCTTACAAATTGCTAATGTCATTTTGTGACAGACTGCAAATAATTAAAATTGGCTAAATATGCTGCTTGTAAATGGGCTTGTTGAAAACTTTGATCACAGACAGAAAGGAATTCTTTTAAAAATCTACTGTTAACAGTAGGTAAAAAGTTAATGAGAAACTTATAAATAATTAATTCTTCCTCTAGAGCCAGAAAAGATTTGTTATTGCTGTTAATGGACTCACAATATATGTTGTATTGTCTTTCCTGAAGTAAGCACTGAATTACTTGATCTCCATACAAAAGAAAATAATTTATTGCACCAATAGCTTTATTAGTGTTTGTATTCCCAGAAAACAATAATTTCCTGGGTTGACTACAGCAGCTTGACTTGATGATAATACATAGGATGACACAGCTAAATCGACACTTCAAAATAAACAGGATACTTTAAATAAAAAAAACTGTTGAAGAAAAATTTGCAAAAATAGTCTGGCACTTGATATTTTCAAGAAAGCAACTGCAAAGCACAGAGAACTATTTCAGATGACCCAATTGTAATTCTGCATTTAAATATGTCTCTTTCCTCCACATGATATTCTTTGAAGCAGCAGCAGGAGAAGCAACACCTTTCCTTTACATGCACGTATCATACGCAGAGTCATCACAGCCTGAAGGCCATTCAGGTTAAAAATACTCACAGGATCCCAGTTGTTCAGATGTGGTCATTCAACAGCTGAACTGAAAATATCCTCTCCCTACTTTATTTGATAAATATTTTGGCAATATTACAATAATCTCTCATTTGGCATTATGATATTAAGTAGTGTGATTGCTCTCAGTTGTCCTATTGAAAATAATTCCTTGATAGTTCTGATGAAGGTATAAATTTCATACAAGCTTGCTGACTATGTTCTCCGCATCATATTAGAAACTGAAGCAAGTGCATCTCATGGACAATAGTGATACCTTGGCATAAACCAGAGGATAGCTTGGGGGTAGGTAACAGGTTTATTAAAAAAGCACAGAAAAAATTGTCAGCCAAGTTCTTTCTCTATGACAGTCAGCTCCTGGTACAGCTTCATTCATGTGTGACAGACACTACTGATATTTAATCATTATAAATGCACAGGACCTACTGATGCTTCTGCTTCTGATGGAAAAGTTGCACCTTGGCTATCTGATGCTATTAATTTCCATTTATAAGTAAATATAAATGAATAAATATATTAGAAGGAAGGATTTTTTGTTGGGTTTTTTTTTTTTTTCCTAAGGGGGAAGATAGATTTTTCAGGCTAGGGATTTACCACCATTCAACTGTAAAAATACACATTAGCACAAAAGAGAATCTAATCTAAAAGCCTAACAGGAAAAAAAAAAACAAACAACAAACCAAAAAACAAAACAACAAAACCCAAACTTAAATATCCCTTGTGAGCATTTTGTTGCAGGGATTTTTACAGGAGGGAGCCCTGGCAGGGCTCACAGCAGGGATGCTGTGCCATACCCATGCCCATACCACTATAGGCCTTGTTCTAAGCTTCTGCTTATCCTCAGCCTTGCAGTAAGGAATATTCCCCCATCTCCACATATCCTGTAATAGAATGACCAAGTTCTTCATCCAGCCTCAGGATCCTCACCCTGCAGTGTTACACTGTCCTGCCTCCAGGCAAACCTTTGCAGCTCAGGTAGCCATTGTGTCTCCTCTGGGCATCTCTCCCTGAAAAGGAAAGCATTTTAAATTTCAGGAGCACGGAGCGGGAGCGTGAGGAGGTTGAACGACTTCATCCTATTTTTCTTTCCCCCTATGGGGGTCTGAAATAGCAGGAGGTGTTAACAGCTTTTATAAGTTTGTAAAAACTCGAAGTGCTGAGGGAGTGGGGGTAGGTCTCACATAACTCCAGCAATTTTTCCTCTGCAGGAGGAGAAAATCTCAACTGTCTTTTCACACGAGGGCTGTCACTCATCTTCGTTTCAGGGGCCCCAGCAGATTGTCCCTCCACACTAACAGACACATTTTAGCCTTTTTTTTTTTGGCTCCCGTGAAAGCCATTTCCCGACTGATCCAACTGTTAGCAGGTCTTTGGTCATTTGGCAGGGCAGGGGAAATGCTTCACGCAATACCAGCCACATCATCCTTGTTTGTGCCACAGGCTATAGAAGATGATGTGCCTTACCCACGTCAGCTGAGCTCCTAGGCTTGTGGCTTTCCAGCTCTTTTTTTTTTGCAGAATACCACCTGTGTGTCACAGATACCTCTAATCATCACTGGAAAACATTTGTACCAGAAATAAGCTCGGATGGAGGCTACAGTAAGTCTAATTCATCCAACAGCAAGAAATCCTGCAGCATTTATACTTGCTGCAAGAATCATTTCTGGGTCTTTATGACATGCTGATCTCCACATCTGGCTGTGGCATGCACCTCAGCTTGTCCATGGATGTTGCTATTTCTAGGTTTCTTCTTGTCAGGCTTGATGGGTGCAGCTGCATGAGACCTAGCAACAGATCTGTAAGAGCAAATAATATCAGTCCTAATGGGAATTAAATTAATATGTCTTTTACAGGGCATAGCTGCTCTACTGGTGCTGCTCCCCACACAGAAATACTATGAAAAATGTTCCCCATTTCCTTCCTTATGCCATGCAAGGCAGACATTTTTTATTCTTTATTATGTATCTGTTTAGCTATGTCTTACATAGAAAGCAGCCTGGAAAAGCATCAGTCAGAAATAATAATAGAAATAATGAAGAATTACATGATGAGGGCTTACCAAGCATATTTTAGCATGTACCAGAGAAGCAGTGGCTGGGAGTCACACACACTTCCATCTCTGAACGAGCTCTCCATTCCCTGAATTCACCAGGTGCCCAGCAGATGGTGGTGTTATTTCAACTACTTTGCTCTGCACTCCCTGGGAAGCAGCCAGGCTGCATGGAACAACTATGGGAAAGTTGTTTCAGGATTTCACAGCTCACAGAACTGCACTTACAGGTTATTTTCTGCAGCATCCTGATATTCCTTCGTGTAGAAATAAATGTTACTGATAGATATCAGCCTTCCAGTGCCTAAAGGGGACTTACAAGGAGGCTGGAGAGGGACTTTTTTCAAGGGCGTGTAGTGATAGGACAAGGGGGACTGGCTTAAAAATGACAGAGGGCAGAGTTAGATCAGATATTAGGAAAAAACTCTTTACTGTGAAGGATGGTGAAGGAACTGGCACAGGTTGCCCAGAGAAGCTGTGGCTGCCCCATCCCTGGAAGTGTTCAAGGCCAGGTCAGATGTGGTTTTGAGCAACCTGGTGCAATGGAATGTGTCCCTGCCCATGGCAGGAGCATTGGAATGAGATGAGCTTTAAGGTCCTTTCCAACCCAAATAATTCTATGGTATATTAAATTAAACATTCTTACAATTGTCTTGATGAAAATTCTGGTGACAGGAGGAAGACCCTCTTCTCATAAGCAGGAAGAAATATTTCTTTGAAAGATCTCTTTTCCAGAAATTTCAATCTCCTACAAGCTGCATTCCAACCATGATCTGGTAGTGTCATTATCTCCTTCTGGGATTTCCAGTCTTCTCCACAGATTATGTAGGATAACCTAATTACTCATGCTCTTTACCAGCAAAAAGCTGTCCCTTTCTTTTTCAGCTCTTGTAACATTTAATTTTTCTTTGTTTCTGCCCCTTCTGAGCAGATATTTCATTATATTTGCTGAATCTCTTCCATCTCTTTTCTGCAGCCTCTATTGTGTCCTTTTATTTCTCCTGGCCACATCTGCAAACAGCACCTCATCTCCTGGCTGTTTGGCTGTCATGGAGTAGGATCCCACAAAAGAGTAGTAAACCACATCAAAAATTTGGTGGTGTTTCTGCCTTTGGATGGGAGCTAGAGAGGGGAAAGAGAACAGAAAGAGCATTTTTAGGAGTCTCTCTAGACATCAAGTTGTACTTGATCTTTTTGCTTACTTTAAAAACTGTTACAGCCATTGCAACATGACATAGTCAGTCACCAGCTGGAAATGATCATCCAAAGGCAGTTTGGGAAATTTGGCTGCTCAGTTAATAATGTTCAATTAATTGTGGCCTGACACAATACCTGGAAACTTTCCAGACATTTGAGGAAAGACATGTTTCAGTGCAGAATTTCTGAGCTGCTCCCATGTACTGAGTTAGCTGGCATGGATCTTCATGAATACTTTATATGAACTCAAAGTCCGAAACATGATGCAAGTAATTTTTCTGATGCCAGCAGGAGCAGAAATTTGTCATACTTGCTTAGGTCTCAGTGCTTCCACATTACAGTGCTAAGAAAGCAATAACCTACTATGAATATTTCGTATTATCTAGAAAAGTTTAGGACCAAACCTGTTTCTTGGATATTGGAACACCTTTAGCAAGATCTTGGAGTCCAAGCAACTTCTGACATGGGTGCCCTTAATGACCTAGAGTGAAACAGAAAACAACACAGGCATGTATCTATGCCAAAATACTTTTGAGAAGACTATTTCTTCCACTGTTCCATCATGAACTGAGCTGCTGCCCTTTTCATGTCCGTAGTGGCCTCATCCCAGCCAGACTTGGTGAGGGTGGAACACCTTCCAGGCAGTCAGTCTCTGCTGTTGCATCCTTCTTCTCCTGGCACTGCAGAGACACGAGGCACACCAGACAGGCAGTTCCCTGGTGTCACAGGCTGCAAACAGCAGCTGATCTCTCCCAGAGAGCGTGGCTGCTGCCGTATGGCTGCAAACCTGCTCACCACCGAGCTGCTCCAGAGACAGGAGCCAGCATCCTCTCATCACCCTTTAGGGTCTGACAGTTTCCAGGGATGAGTGCTCCTCCAGTTGCACTGCCTCACAGAGGTCCCACAAGCTGTTATTCCTATTCCCTGCCTCTTCCCAGAGAGGACAGAGATGGCTCCATGTCAGCAATGTTTTTCCTGAGCTCTGTGACTCCACCTCCAGCCAGGTTGCTCAAAGCTGGCAGTGCATTGCAGCCTCTGGTAGTTCTGGCCTTAGTGTGAGCTCTCTGAAATCTCAGAATTTTGGGCCACCCACTGTGCAGATACAGCTGAAATCTGTGGTCAGAACCCAAAATTCTGTTACCTGTGTGTTTCCTCAAACACCACAGCCCATGCCTGAGCAAGGGGGAATGGCTACTGCAGAGCTGTAGCCTGGGTTGCAGTTCTCCCAAGCAGACAACACTCACATCCACTTGGCCATGCAGAGTAAGGTATCAAAATGTAAGAGACATGAGAATGAGACTGCTCAAGAAATGCAGAGTGTATTTTTTGTAATATAAGGCAATTTATATGTAAAACATCTGTAATCGAAAAAAAAGAGCACCTTAAATACAATATTCAAAATTCAGCAATAAAAATCCTGTATCTGGCAATGATAAATCAGCACATTAAAAACATGTCATGCAGAAAGCAGATGCTCTTTGCGGGGGAAACAAGGTTTGTAATGTGGAGGTAAAACAGTGGTGACACAAACAGGATCGGTCACGCAGTTTGTCCGTGTCCCAGCAGTGCCAGGATGGGAGCTGAGGAGGTGCAGGAATAGTTCACACTGCAGTGTGTTGCTATGGACACCATAACTTCTTCACTGGGCTGTCAGGACTGTGGGTTTACAGAGTTGGACCCCATACTGTCCCTAAAATAATGGGAGCTTCTTGCTGTTCAAGTGGCAAATTCTGCCAAGTTGGCTCTAATAAGAATAGTCCAGTAATTTCTTTCTTCTTTGTGTTCCAGGACCCAAATCACTTCATTTTCAAATGGTTGAAAATAATTCATAAACTAATCAAGCCTTACCATACACACCAGTATGAAAAATACCTTTGAATCTTACACGTCCTTGGTCTTTTGGATGCCCTTTTCCTGCACTTGATCTGTACACAGATGATCAGAAGCAGCTTTTTCTGTAACCCAAGGATAGGTAAACTTACAAGATCTCTCAAAATAGAAAATATAAGCAGTTGCCTTAGAGAAAAAGTACCCCAAAAATTCACAAAAGAGAGTGGAATAATGCACACCATACAGCCACAAACTCAGCCTGAAATGAACTTTAGGCAACTGTGCAGGAACTGAGACATTTCAGTCATACAATGCAAAGAACAGGGTCACAAGCAAACTTTCATGGGAATTAGACCTTCATATATCTTATCATGTCTTGATTAGAGCAATGGGCTGAAGCACAAGAGCTTTCCTGGTATTGTCTTCTCTCTCTTTTTTTTTCTTTTGTATTTAAATCTATTTCCAAAGATTTAAGATGGAAGGTTTAGATGCTGGAAACCACCTATGCCATCAAGCAGTCTCAGTCACAGAAGACTCAAACATGTAATAAATACAGTGTGCAATTTAACAGGATTATCAGAAACTAATAGTTAAGCTTTTGTTTTGTTAAATGTTCACCCATCCTTTGTCAAGTATTTCTAATTACCAGGATTTTAATGGTAATGTTTAACAGCCCCAGAACTCCAGGGTCTTTTAATATCTGCCACAACAGAGTTTTCAATTATCGTAATTCTGTCCTTAATTTCTGTCATCATAATTATCCTTCATTACAGCAACATTCTTAGATCTGACTCATCAAAGTGAAATTTTTCATTGTTTCACTTGACTTGCAACTCAAACTGGGATTTAACCTCTCAGTCATTTCACCCTATATCTTCAATGAACAGAAAAAATTCACTTTTCTGGTTTGCCACGTGTTCCAGTTGCTGTATCAGTGTAGGGGACACACCGTCAAAACTAAGTGAAAGGTTGAGTATGTATTACAATTTATTACAATTTATACAATTCTTACAATGATTGCAGGAACAGTACAGGTTAGAAATCTCTAATATTTTCAACAGTCACTCACATCACAGCTTGGTTGACCTTCATAAACCTAGCACATAACAAAAAAGTATTTGTAGTAGATAACAGCCATCTCTCTGATAATTCACCTATCCTAGAAGAGCAATCCATTTGATATGCTATTAATTACATTAAAAAATACTGCGATACCAGTAAGCTACAGATCTTAATTTATTTAAATTGCTTATATGCAATTCATTTTCAAAGTGCCTCAATGTTTTCACTTGAAAAATGTGATCAGCCTTCAAAAAAATTTAGATGTTCTCAGTGTCTGATCCTGTTGCCTGCACAGGCTCTGTGTGACCTCAGTTTGATGGCAAAGCAGGATGGAGTCTGTCTTCCTCGAAAATTGGCTTTCAAGTCCACTGAAAGAGGTCACTGCAACCAGTGGGACGCCGCTGCATAAAGTCATTCCCCACCTCACCCTGCGCTTACTGAAGTCAGTTTTATTGCTGATTTTGTGGGAACAGGCTCCAGCTCTCCATCTCTTTGTCAGTGTGCTTTCAAAGTCCCTTCTGCAGTGCTTCATCCAAGTCAAGAACTCTATTTCACAAATTCAGATCAGGAAGACTGCAAAACAAATATAGCTGTGACAAGAAAATAATGATAAAGTGTAAGGTGCTGTCTATTGCTTCAAGTACTTCTGTGATATTTGCTCTCTTAAGTCTGTGTAGCAGCCTCAGCCTAGAAGGTTTCTGAATTAAAACTAGAATATAAGAAACACTACATATAAGGTTTTGATAGAGTAAAATAACTGGCAATCTAATTATCCTCTTCTATAATTTTCCTGTAGGATGCTGTGTGGTGTAAGGGATTAAGCAAGCCCTAGTAGCCAAATGAACATTGGAGTAGCTGTGGAACTTTGGACCAGTCACTTGACCTTCTTCTACTTCATTCAAGCAAGCTGGAAAATTAGAGGCAGCACAGAGCCAGAATGAAAACTGGACACTGCTTATAGCAGTATTTTCTGGAAAGGTAAATTGCAAACCATAATTTTGTAACAGCAGTTTTGTCCAGCGCTGTAATGTTTGTGGTACATGCAAGCAGCAGTTCTATATATACACAGAGTACAATATAAATTTATGAAATTTATAGATACATGCCTTTGGTTTTTGGCTGTGTGCTATGCACTAAAGAGATCTTCTTGCAACTGCCTAATATCTACAGATCATAAAAGTGTAGTCCATACTCAATTGCTAATTAATCTAAGATCTTCTCTTTACATTTTTATTAATTTTAATGCAGCTGGTTGGTGGGCGAAAGACATGATTTATATGAAGTCTGCACTTAGCTCATTGCAAGAGGCTTAAGCTCTCAGCTGTAACATAACAGGGGAGGAGGCTGGGAAACTTATTTTTTTTCTCTTGTCTGCATGCTTGCTCTTGGTAATCCAGTTTTGACTGCACAGTCTCGCCAGGAGGGGATAGAATCATCCCTGTTCTTGGCCATTACTGGTCTCGGTGATCATCCTGGTCATTTTTGTCATTTCTGCTTTTGGTCATCATCCTGTTTCAAGCAAGTTGGAGTAGATGATCTTCAGATGTTCCTTCAACTGACATTTCTAGACTCCCCTGGTCCTGCCTGCTCAGGGGTATAAAATCAGCTTAGGTGTGATGGCATCATCCCTGAGAATAGGCAACAGCTGGTGCTCAGGTGCCTTATTAAACTATTTAAGAGGTTGTCTTGGGGACCTGCAGTTCACTTCAGTTCATGTTTGCCTGGGAACTCTTTTGGGGGTGCAAGTCTGGATTTACGTTTCACTCACCACCTCTCTGCCTTTGATCCAAAACCTGCAACTGATGTAAGTGGGAGATGGTGGAACATACTTATACCAAAAAAATAAACAGTGGATACTATAAAATATATTTTCAATTTAAGATGATAGTTGACTTCTTAATAAAATTTTCTGTCTCAGATGACTGTTCCTGAGCTACTGACAATCCAAGAGTAGAAGTTTGAAAGCAGTTTTTTCCTTCATTTCTGGTGAAAATCTTCCAGTTGTCACAAAGGCAGTAGTAGGATAATATTGGGACTGAGATCTACCTTTATCAGATCAAAAAGATTTGATTTAAAGTCTATATGTAACTACCTCATAACTATATAAATATATATTTTAAAAAGTCAAGTACACTAAATAAATATGTCAGAGTGGGAATAACTAAGGCAGTGTATGAAAATATCAATAAATAACACCACCTGTATGTACCCACTGTAGTGGGAAAGCAGGGCCCTTATGTTATACTGCAATCTACAGCAAGGATGAGGATCTCCATTCCCTGATGGCATTTTGAGAGCCTGTCCCTGTACAAGCTGGTGATCCTTAACTTAATCCTTTTAAGAACTGTCTAGATTAAAGTAAATTGATGTCCATGAAAGGGCAAGTAAATGCATGTGCTTGAACTTACCTGCTTGTTTTCACGCAGTCCCAATGTGGCTGCTCCTTACCTCCATGAGCTTAAGACAGGTCATGACTCTACTGTTGCCCATTTAAAATTTTCAGGAAATTATTAGCTAGCTTAGATAATGAAATGGGAAAATGTCATTTGCATCTAGCTGGCCTTTGGACCAGCTTTGTGCTGGAACTCTTGCAATGTAGAGGAATGCGTAATTAAAAATTATCTTACTATGCTTTAAAAATATTTACTGAAAATGCTTTTACTCACACAATGTTACCTATTCCTCTCCAACTTGGGTTTCTAGTGAAAACATGTTGAAATCCAGGGACAATCAAAAGAAGCAGCATAAAGCAATGTCCAAACCTAAAGTAAATCTGTAAGCAAGTTATATCTGTCCTGGATGCCTTAACTCATGCTAAGCATTGCAACACAATCCTCTGGTTATAGACCATCTTCCCAACACCTTCTGTATGATGGAAGCAAAAAACCATCATTCTTTTCTTTACCTCTACTTGAAGCAGAATCAGTGGCTGGTAAAAGCTTGAGCCCTGTATGGGGAAAGTGTCTAAGCTCGTGCTCAGAGTCAGCTGCGTTGGGAAACTGTTGATTTGCAGGAGTCCTTCACAGCTGGAATTTCTATTTCATCTGGTGGAACTGAATCGGTGCACTTTATCCAAGCAGTAATCTAAGCCCCTAGAGGCAGGCAAATTCTACCAGAGAATCAAAATTTGGCTCTGTGTGCAGAGTTGACTCTGGCTTGAGTTACCTTTATGAACACAAGTGCATATTTCAATCTCTGCAAGCACATATGGTATTGGTCGGCAATTAGGCATCCCTTGACAAGGTTATTTGTCTTCAGAGTCAACAAATACAGTATGATCAACCTTTGAGTAGGTAAAGAACAAATATATTAAAGTTCCTTATCTAAAATTATTTACTTTAACACTCACAGAAATGTAATCACACCATAATTTAATAAAATAATATTGAAAGACCCAACCAAATATCAACAAGGCATTTTTTCCATCTTTTGACTGCAATAACTTACAGGCCAAGCATAAAACCACTAAAGACAATGGAAAACATTAATCCTTTTCCCTTTTTTTTATTACCACAAGATTGTTTTGCCTTTTGTTACCTCAGTGTCTTATCTAGTCTAGTCTCCAGTGTTCCTGACTATGAGACTTCTGAAATAACTTAGCAATAAAATAGATACTGCTGTAAAAATTTTCTATTTGCTATATATTGACATTTGTCAGACATTTCACTCTTCTTTTATTAATAAGATGTGCATAACTGTAAACCTTAACCAATTTCTTCTTTGCAGGGCTTTTTTGTTAAATACAGTGAAAACAAAGATTTTTTTTTCAATGTCATACTACAATTAACATTTGGTTATGATCAAGATTGATAAAATTTAACTAGCTGCATTTACAACCTTCGAACTAATGTCCTGTCTAATAAATCATATTTTTTGTGTCCTTTTTCTCACATTTCTGTCATTGATAAGAAGTAGCTACTCTGTAGTACTAGCAATTGAATCTGTTATTCGTAGGCATGTTTTCAAATGGAGCTCTAATAAATATTTTCAAAGGACCTTTCCTTAACAAAATATTAAATGTATTTTTGCAAATTAAAAAATATATTAAGAAAATCATGATAAAGACAAATATGCCAACAGTCACAGGCTAGCCAGCCCTGCCCTTGACTGACTGAGGGAAAGTTTTGCTGCTTTGGTAAATATTAAGAGTAGAGTTTGAAAAGCACTAATTAATGTGCACAGCCCCTACTGATGCTCAGAAAGACATGACTTTCAAGGTCACTCAGCCATTTTTAATTATTTCACCCTTAGTCTTTACCAGGATACTC